CCCCCAAAAAAAAAAAAGTGGAAAAAAGGATGAAAGCATTCAATTTTGCAGGCCGAAAATGCTCCACTTTCGGGGGATGAAAACGATGGTTTTTGGGAGCAAAATGAAGGTTTTATGACTGAAAATACGAAGTTTGGGGCTGGGAGCGCAGCTTTGGGGCTGAAAACGGTGACTTGGGGTTGAAATCCCAAATTTTGAAGTTGGAAATCTTGATTTTGAGGCTGAAAATGCGACTTTGAGACTGAAAACGGCAACTTTGGGTCAAAGTCCTGAATTTGAGGTTGGAAATCCTGATTTTGAGGCTGAAAATACCAAAGTTGGGGCTGAAAATGCGACTTTGAGACTGAAAATGGCAACTTTGGGTCAAAGTCCTGAGTTTGAGGTTGGAAATCCTGATTTTGAGGCTGAAAATGGCGAAGTTGGGGCTGAAAATGCGACGTTTGGACTGAAAATAGCAACTATGGTTTGAAATCCTGAATTTGAGGTGGAAAATCCCAAATTTAAGACTGAAAATGCTGAATTTGGGGCTGAAAATGCGACTTCGAGACTGAAAATGGTGACCTTGGGTTGAAATCCCAAATTTGAGGCTGGAAATCACAATTTCAAGACTGAAAATGCCGAATTTGGGGCTGAAAACAGGGACTTCGGGTCGAGATCCAGACTTTGAGGCAGAAAATCCCAACTTTAAGACTGTAAATATGAAATCTGGGGCTAAAAATGTGACTCAGAGTCTGAAAATGGTGAGTTTTGAGTTGAAATCCAGACGTTGAGGCAGAAAACCCCGATTTTGAGACTGAAAATGCTGAGTTTGGGGCTGAAAATGTGACTATGAGGCTGAAAATGGGGACTTCGGATCAAAGTCCAGAATTTGTGGTAGAAAATTCCAATTTTAACACTGAAAATGACAAGTTTGGGGCTGAAAATGGCGACTTTGCATCGAAATCCAAAATTTGAAGTTGGAAATCCTGAGTTTGAGACAGAAAATCGCATCTTTGAGGTCAAAATCCTGATTTTTGAGGCTGAAAAAGCTGGCCTGAATCCCAAGCCAGGTGAGTTGGGGGTGCTGTTGCTGGAAACCCCCTTTTTGGGGCTGAAAATTGACATTTTGGGAGCAGAAATCCCTCAGTTGGGGTTGAAAGTGCCACTTTTGGGGTGGAAAATGGGGAATTTTGGTGCCAAAAATCCAAAGTTTGGTGCTCAAAATAGCAATCCTGTGGGCTGGAATTCCTGCATTTGGGGTCTGAAATTCCCAAATTTTGGATCAGAAATCTCAAATTTGGGGTCAGAAGTTCCCCATTTTGGGATCAAAAATTCCCAAATTTGGAGTCTGAAATCTCAAATTTGGGGTCAAAAATCCCCAAATTTAGGGTCTGAAACCTCACATTTTGGGCCCCAAATCCCCAAATTTGGGGTCAGAAATTCCGCAGTGCGGGGTTGAACGCTTCCAACTTTGGGTCCCAAAATGCCCAATTTGGGGCTGAACCTCCAAACGCTGCTCCGGAAATATCATTTTTTCAGCCCCCCCTCACCCCCCCCTTCAGTTTCTCACTGAAAATCCCAATTTTTCCACCAAAAAAAAAAGAAAATTTTTTTCTCTCCAAACCCCACAGTCCACA